TGCAACCTCCAAGTTAGTCCCAAAGGACAAACTTCTTCAAGCAAGGCCAGATCTCTTAAGCCTAAATGCTACCCAGGAATCAGTGGAAAGTATGCAAACACTAAAGACTGTGGAGGAACATTTCATTCAAACTACCACAGTGATGTAAACTGCTTTCTTTTTGTTCTTCCTTTTTGTTTAATTCTCCTATATCTTGTAACCCAACTACAATTTCCCCTCCCTCCTCTCCTACAAGTTCCTCCTGCATTTGTGACTAGCCTGATTGTTATCAGAGAGGTTTCATCCAGAAGCTGATGGAAAGAGATTCAGAGACTCTCAGCCAAAGAGGCAGAGCTCAGGGAATCCTGCTGGCAAGGTGAAGGAAGGATTATCAGAGACTTGCCGACAAGGTGAGGGCAAGGAAGCAAAGAACCAGATCTTCCTCGTCCCATGTCCTTACATAAGCTTCCAGCAGTATGTGCTGCTCAACTAAAGGTGTGTTGTTGTGGACATAAATATGTTTTTGTTTTAATCCCAGGTGTGGGATAGGGACTGATTCAGATAATCCACAGCAGCAAACTAATTGCCTCATGCCGGCTCTGAGAGGAACTCTATGCCAGCCACAGATAGTTTAAATCTGAGGACTCTGGAGAAAGAATAAATGCTGTAGATGGAGACAAGAAGATGGAGATCTCCTGAAACTGGACTGGCTTCCTGGAACCCTACAACCCTAACTGTAAGAAGCAGCTAAGAAAGAGATCTGTGCCCCCTCTCCTACTAACCCTTTCTCTCTCCTACTGGTGTTGGGATTTTGGAAGGGAATGGCATAAAGTATGGAGAAAGAGATAAGAACTGTAAATAAAAGAGTTGTGGGGTTGTTTGTTTGTTTGTTTTTGTACACCAACAGCCTCAAGACCTGGATTAAAAGCGTGTGTCTTCTTGCCTTAAGATCTAGATTAATGCACCACTCAGGAAGGCAGGGGCAGGTAATTTGATGAGAGTTCAAGGCCAGCATGGTCGACAAAGTGAGTTCAAGACAGCCAAAGCTACACAAAGAAACCTGAACTCGAAAAGCAAAAGAAAACAAACAAAAGATCCAGATTAAATCTCAGAGTTCTACCTCCAAAGTCAGTATTCAAAGTCATCTACCTACTTCAATTTAAACAAACAAAAAAATTTCTCACATTTTTAAGTTTGAGTTAATTCCAGACATAGTCAACTTGGGAAGAAAAACAGCCATCATATGTGTATTTTCTTATTGCAGTTACTCTTCTATAAATGAAGCAATCACATCAATTTCTGCACAGGCTGTTATTTACCCTTATGATGGTGTTACAATAATTTCTGCCAAATCCTTGATCAGTGAAGGGTATTTTTTCTTACCTCTCAGGGGTCTGAGTGTTCACAGCATGGGGGGCAGGTGTAAGAGTTCGTATATGGTGTCTCACAAGCAGAGCCACGAACCGCTGAAAGTGGCTGTCTTATTCCTGCCCTTTTTCCATCTAGACTCATAGTCCCTAGATGGCTCCACCGACTTTCATGGAGGACTTGCCCCTCACCCTCAGATAATTTTCCTTGGAAATAGTCTTCCAGTTCTTCTTTTCCATTTGAGGGTTGTGGAAAGGGAGTATCCTTAATGCTCCTACATTCAATCATGTTGATTGACCAGATTCAGCTTCTTAGTACCTCATAATTTGCACCCTGCACTGGTTAGTTCTGTCCTCAAACTTTGAACTACCATGCTTTCTCTGCTTCACCTTAAAAGTAACATCCTGAGTGAGGTAACTCAGAAACAGAAAGACAAGCATGGTATAATTCACTTATAAGAAGATATTAGCCCTCTGATATAGGATAGCCAAACTAAAACCTACAGATGTAAAGAAGATAAACACTAAGGAAGACCCAAGGGAGGATACTTAAATATCATTCAAAATGGCAAACAGGATAGACACCAGCAGCATTAGAAGAGAGGAAATAATATGGGAGCCTGCTGTAGAGGGTCATCTGAAAGGCTCCATCTAACAGGGGATTGAAGCAGATGCTGAGAGTCACAGTGAAACTTTGGGCAGAGTGCATTAAGTCTTATGGAAGCAGGGAATGGGGGAGATAGAAAGCTATTGAGGGGACAGGAGCCCCCCAAGGAGACCATGGTGTCCTGCAGAGACTGATGCACCAATGAAGGACCATCCATCTATAGGACCTAGATCTTCTGCTCAGATGTAACCAACTGGCAGCTCAGTCCCCATGTGGGTGTCTGAATAAGGAGAGCAGGGGCTGCCTCTGTCATGAACTCCATTGCCTGCTCTTTGATCACTTGCCCCAGACAATGTGGTCTTGCCACAGAGGAAGAAGATGCAGGCAGTACTAATGAGATTTGATAAGCTATGGGCAGATGGTAGAGAAGGAGAACTCTCCTTTTCAGTGAACTAGCAGAAAGGGATGGGGGGAAGAAGGAGGAAGGTTGGGACTGAGTAAAATTGAGGGAAAGGGCTTCAATCAGGATATATAATGAATAAACTGATAAAATAAAAATAAAAAAAAAACTAATTGGACAGGTACAGGTTTTATTTGGAATAGGTGGTTCTCAGGGCTACCTGACAGAGCCAAAACCTTCAGGTCACCAACTGTAGGTGACACAGGACTACAGGTGTGTCTTTATGCCAGAGAAAAAAACTCTAGGATTAGTTTGTCTCTCTAAGACATGAGGACCAGGATAGAGATGAGAGGAGTAGGGAACATTATACAGATCACATTACAAGAGCAGTTATGTCAAAATCCCTTCTTCTGTAACCAATGAATATATTCTGTAGCCCTTGGAAAAGAGAACAAATCTTATTTTTAAGGCCCAGCAGAGTAAACATGGAAATTTTAACTTTGAAGAGGCCAGAACTCACCAGAGAAAGATACAAGACCTGAGGCCAGGAAGAGCTGAATCTTGTCAGTGATCATGTTTGAATTGAGAAACATTTAGAATTCTCAATTTCTGCTCCATTATGTGAATCTGGAAGACTTTTTCCAAGGAGGATTATTTGAGGGAGAGTTTCTAGTCCTCCAAAAAAAGTTGATGGAGCTATCCAAGAATGGAAAAAGGGCAGGGATGAGACATCCAGTTTCAGCAGTTTGTGGCTCTGCTTGTTAGACACCATATATGGGCTCTTCCCCCTGCCCTCCATGTTGTGAACACTGACAGGTAAGGAAAACACCACTTCCCTGACCATGTTTATGGCAAGGATAATGTAACACAATCACAAGAGTGAATAGGAGCTTTGTAGACATTAACAAGATGCCTTCACTTATGGGAGTTTAACTACAGTAAGCAAAATACACATGTGATAGCTGTGCTTGTTGAAAACTTGATTACAAATGGAATTAACTCAAACCCCAAAGTGGAGGGCCAGAGTGTGAGAAAGTTTTTGCTTAAATCCAAGTAGGGTGATCTTCTTTGAATACATAATTTATTCCAGATCTTGAAGCAAGAAATGGAAATTCCACAGGCATTTAATCTGGATTTTGCAGCAAAAAGACACACCTTTAATCCAGGTTTTAGGGCTGGGAACCACACCTTTAATTAGGCCACACCATCTGTTACAGGCCTATATAAAGACATGGAAAAAGGAATTTTTTTGTCATTTGACTGCTTGCTCTGAGCTTGCTAGCAAGGCCAATCCTTCACTGGTTTTATAGCCTCCTTATCTAAAATTTCAGCATATACTGAAGGCCAGCTGAGACCTCTAGCCCCCTGGACTGAACAACTTCCTGGGCTTCTTGGACTTTCTATGCACAGCTTGCCCTGAGTGGATTCTCTTGACTGCAGTCTGTAAGTCATTCTCATTAATACCCTTTATGTATACATTCATCTGTGAGTTTTGTTACTTATCATAATAGGATTCTGTAAGCACAAAATGTTTTAAAATTGACATGTATAAAATGTTCCAAACAGTTGAAAAGTTCTGTATAATAGCCAAAAGTTGTTATCAATTGACCTAAAATACAATATAGAGGAAAAAATTGAGTGAAAGAGTCACAAGGGAAGACTAAGCAGCCTATGGGCTACATTTGACCAGGGGATCTAGGTCCTCTCCATGCATGGAACTTGATTGATTCATCAATCTCTGCAGGCCTCCATGGGCCCAGACTTTTTGCATTTGTTGGTCTCCTAGTGGAGCTCCTATCCCCTCCAGGTCTTTCTCTCTTCCCTTTCTTCCATAAGACACCCTGTACTCTCCCCAAAGTTTGTCTGTGTTTATCTGCATTTGCTTTGATCCTCTACTGGGTGGAGTGTTTCAGAGGATAACTGTGGTGGGTGCCCTTCCTTTTCACTCTCTTCTACCACTTCTGTGTCTATCTTGTTTGCCCTTCTGAATGACATTTAAGTATCCTCCTCCTTAGGGTCCTCCTGGTTGTTTAGCTTCTTTAGGTCTTTAGATTTTATTTTATCCTATATTAATTGCTAATATTTGCTTCTAAGTGAGTATATACCATGCAAGTCTTAATAAGGGGAGAAGGGGCAGTCTCTGCTATGAACTCGGTTGCTTGCTCTTTGATCATTTCCCCTGGCATGGTAACCTTGCTGTGCCACAGGGGAAGAGGATCCAGGCAGTCCTGATGGGACCTGATAGGCTAGAGTCAGATAGAAGGGGAGGAGGATTTCCCCAATGTTAGACTAGTGAAGGAAAATGGGAAAGAAAGGGGAGGGAGGTGGAATCAGGAGGAAATAAGGAAGGAGGCTACATTCAGGATACAAAGTAAATAAATTGTAAAAAGTAATCATAACTAAAAAAAAATTACGGACTAGGTTTGTTGACTGTATTTTCTGAAACTGATATTAAAATCTACATAGGAAATTAGAGAGAGACCCAGGTTTCAAGTCTCAGCAAAGAGGGAACAGAGCAGAGAGTAAAGAGTAAAATTCTGAGAAGTATCTCTAATTGTGTCCTACAGGTGAAAGAAAAACTATCTTGATTCTTCACTTTGGACTGAGTTTAACCTTCAAAGTACTTCTTGCAGTAACGATAGCTGACATGGCTGCTGAGAACTCAGGCTCCACACACATCCCTGTCAAGACATTTTCCTACAGGTGGACCATTACCAACTTCTCCATTTGCATGGAGGGAATGACAGAACCCATTGCAAGTGCGACTTTCTCTTCAGGACCCTATGACAAACACAAATGGTGTTTAAGAGTGCACCCCAATGGAATCGATGAAGAGGGCAAAGACTACCTGTCAGTTTACCTAGTGTTGCTCAGCTGTTCAATAAGCCCAGTTTGGGCAAAGTTTCAGTTTTGGATCATCAACAACCAAGGAGAAAAATGCCATGAACTGTCGAGCCAAAGCCTTTTCAGGTTCCTGCCTGGCAGCGAGAGTGGATTCAAACGGTTCATCCGGAAAGATTTCCTCTTATTACAAGCAGAATTTCTTCTCCCTGGGGACAGTCTCACCCTTCTATGTCAAGTGACCATGATTCCAGAGTCCTGCAACGTTGGTAGACTGAACACGGCCTCAGCAATCAAGGTCCCAAAGTGCACATTGAGAGATGAGCTAGGTGAGCTGTGGGAGAATTCCCTCTTCACAGACTGCTGCCTGGTAGTAGGTGATCAGGAATTCAGGGCTCACAAGGCCATCTTAGCAGCTCGCTCTCCAGTTTTCAGAGCCATGTTTGAACATGAAATGGAGGAGAAGCAAAAGAACCGAGTTGAGATCCACGACATGAAACCAGAAGTCTTCAAGGAGATGATGACCTTCATTTACACGGGGAAGGTGCCAAACCTCTACACCATGGCTGCTGGAGTGCTGGCAGCTGCTGACAAGTATGGCCTGGAACACTTGAAGGTCCTGTGTGAGGATGCCCTCTGCAGGGACCTCTCAGTGGAGAATGTGGCTCATACTCTGTTCCTGGCTGACCTATACAGTGCAGAGCAGCTCAAAATGCAGGCACTGGATTTCATCACAGAGTATGCTTTTGAGGTCTCTGAGACCTCAGAGTGGAATGCGATGGTGGTTTCCCATCCACACTTGCTGGCTGAAGCATTCCGCTCCCTGGCTTCTGCCTAGGAGCCTCCTAGCAAACAGCTGGTGAGATGGTAGCACCTGGTTAGTCGTGACCTACACCTGTCCTCCAGAAGCAGCAGCCAGTGTTGTTACCAGTGACTCCTGCATTGACTAAGGGTTGCTGCTGCATTTACAGTGAATCTGGGGAAGGACAGCATGGTGGCTCAAGATTTCACACAGCTGGGAACACGTTGGAATGATGCCTGGGTGAGCAGCCCTGGACTCTGGTGCACTCTACCTAACATCTACCTCTTTTAATTTTGTCTCATGAATTGGAAACTGCGATTCAACTTAGTTGCTTGCCACAAACATATCCTAACAGGGTTTTTGCTTGTGTGTTTGTTTGTTTGTTTGTTTTGAGGGGCACCTGTCTGTATTGGGCTGAGTGAAACACAAGACAAGGGGCTCAGAGCAAAGGTGAAAACAAACATGAACATGTGAAAGACTTTTACTTTCCAAAATTCAGTTTGTGGGTACTGGAGAGATAACTAGTTTGACATAAGTGAGAGTTGCTCTTGCAACTGGAAAAGCTGGACAGTTGTCAGCATCCATGGGAGAGTTTTCATCCATCAGTAACTGGACATTGAGCAGACCTGAGACAGTTTGTCATTGCCAAGGTCACATCTTCCTCTGTAGACAAAACCTGACAATTAAAATGATGAAATCGGTGTGCATTCCCAAGGTGCTTATTATGTTCAGAGGGTTTAAAGGCCTAAGAATATTTAAATATTCTTTATATATTTGAACTCTAAAATTTCAATTAATACCCATATTATATCTGGATCTGATATTATCCTGACATCAAACTAATTCTGGCAATATGTTTTAGTCTTCTCTCTCCTTCTCACTTTCTGGATCATTCTCCCTTCAGCCGTGTCTAGATTGTTCTCTCTGCAACCTGTATCTATAAAACTGTCCTGGTAATCAACTCTCAGTAAGAAACTCCTCTCGCCCTCCACCGCTCTTAAGTAGCCTCACTTTCCTGTCCTGTTCTTGTCATTGTTGGTTGTATGTTCTCCAACTCACTCTGTCAAATCTTTCTGTGTTTTTCACAGGAAGCCAATTAGATTCCATTTTCAAACATGGCTGCTTACTTCTCTAAGACAAACTTACCTTCATTGTTTGGGATTAAAGGTGTGTACTAAGAAGATGTCTACATTCAAGCCAGATCATATTGTAATCCATAGTGTCTGAATTCCATCAGGATCATATATGCAGTACATGATTTTATTTTATTTTATTTATTATTTTTTACTATTAGTTACAGTTTGTTAACTTTGTATCCCTGCTGTATCCTGCTCCCCCTTTCCCTCACAATCCCACCCTCCCTCCCTCATCTCCTTCCTGCCCCTTTCCAAGTCCACTGATTGGGGAGGATCTCCTCCCCTTTCACTTGTTCCTGGTTTATCAGGTATCTTCAGGACTGGCTGAAAAGTCCTCCTCTGTGGCCTAGTGGGGTGTGGGGGGAGGGGAGGTCAAAGAGCCCACCATTGAGTTCATGTCAGAAACAGTCCCTGTTTCCCTTATTAGGATACCCACTTGGATACTGAGCCACCATGGGCTATATCTAAGCAGAGGTTCTAGGTTATATCCATACATGGTCCTTGTTTGGAGAAACAGTCTCATAAAAGACCTCTGTGCCCAGATATATTTGATCTTTGTGGAGCTCCTGTCTGAGAAAGCAGCAGAATGATTTCCAAACTGTACAAGTTTACATTCCCACCAGCAATGGAGGAGGTTTACTCTTTCTCAACATCCTCTCCAGAATGTGTTGTCACTTGAGTTTTTGATCTTAACCATTCTGATAGGTGTATGGTGAAATCTCAAGGTGACATCTCAGTGTCCTTTTAATTTGCATCTCTCTGAGGACTAAGGACATTGATCATTTCTTTAATTGTTTCTCTGTCATTGGATAGTCCTTTGTTTAAATTCTCTGTTTAGCTCTGTATTCCATTTTTTAATTGGATTATTTGATTTGTTGTTGTTTAACTTTTATTTTCTCTCTTTTTCTTTATTAATTACACTTTATTCACTTTGTATCCCCCCTGTGGTTCTCTCCCTCTTCCCATCCCAATCCCTCCCTTCCTCCACCCTCTGCATGCATGCCCCTCCCCAAGTCTACTGATAGGGGAGGACTTTTCCTTCCTTCTACTCCTAGTCAATTAGGTCTCATCAGGAGTGGTTGCATTGTCTTCCCCTGTGGCCTGGTAATGCTGCTTCCCCCTCAGGGGGAGGTAATTAAAGAGCAGGCCAATCAGTTCATGTCAGAGACAATCCCTGTTCCTATTACAATGGAACCCACTTGGATACTGAACTTCCATGGGCTACATCTGTGCAGGGGTCTTAGGTTATCTTCATGCATAGTCCTTGGTTGGAATAGCAGTCTCAGGAAAGACCCCTGTGCTCAGATTTTTTGGTTCTGTTGTTCTCCTTGTGTAGTTCCTGTCCTCTTCAGATCTTACTGTTTCCCACTTCTTTCCTAAGATTCCCTGCACTCTGCCCAAAGGTTGCCCATAAGTCTCAGCATCTACATTGATAGTCTGCAGGGCAGAGCTTTTCAGAGGTCCTCTGTGTCGGGTTACTGACTTGTTCCCTCTTTTCTCCTTCTTCTGATGTCCAGCCTCTTTGCCTTTCTGGATAGGAATTGAGCATTTTAGCAAGAGTCCTCCCTCTTGATTAGTTTCTTTAGGTGTACAGATTTTAGTAGGTTTATCCTATATTAAATGTCTATATGAGTGAGTATATACCATGTGCATCTTTCTGTTTCTTAGATAGCTCACTCAGGATGATCTTTTCCAGATCCCACCATTTACCTGCAAATTTCATGATTTCCTTGGTTTTTATTGCTAAGTAATATTCCATTGTATACCACAATTTGTACATCCATTCCTCCACTGAGGGGCATCTGGGCTGTTTCCAGCTTCTGGCTATTACAAATAAGGCTGATACAAACATGGTTGAGCAAATGTCCTTTTTGTGTACTTGAGAATCTTTTGGATATATGCGTAGGAGTGGTATAGCTGGATCTTGAGGAAGTGCTATTCCTAGTTGTCTGAGAAAGCACCAGATTGATTTCCAGAGTGGTTGTACAAGTTTACATTCCCACCAGCAGTGGAGGAGGTTTCCCCTTTTTCCACAACCTCTCCAGCATGTGTTGTCTCTTGAGTTTTTGATATTGGCCATTCTGATGGGTGTAAGGTGAAATCTTAGGGTCATTTTGATTTGCATTTCCCTGATGGCTAATGAGGTTGAGCATTTCTTTAAGTGTTTCTCTACCATTCGATATTCCTCTGCAGATAATTTTTTGTTTAGGTCTGTATCCCATTTTTTAATTGGATTACTTCTTCTTGAGTTCTTTATATATACTGGATATTAGCTCTCTGTCATATATAAGGTTGGTGAAGATCCTTTCCCAATCTGGAGGCTGTTGTTTTGTTCTGAGGACAGTGTCCTTTGCTTTACAGAAGCTTTTCAGTTTCATGAGGTCCCAGTTATTGATTGTTGCTCTTAGAGACTGTGCTGTTGGTGTTCTGTTCAGGAAGTTGTCTCCTGTGCCAATGACTTCAAGGGTATTCCCCATTTTTTCTTCTAAGTGGTTTAGTGTGTCTGGTTTTATGTTGAGGTCTTTGATCCACATGGACTTTAGTTTTGTGCAGGGTGATAAGTATGGATCTATTTGCATTTTTCTACATGTAGACTTCCAGTTAGACCAGCACCATTTGTTGAAGATGCTGTCTTTTTTCCATTGAATGGATTTGGCATCTTTGTCAAAGATCAGCTGTCCATAAGTGTGTGGATTTATGTCCGGGTCTTTTATTCGATTCCATTGATCCACCACTCTGTTTCTATGCCAGTACTATGCAGTTTTTAGTATGGTTGTTCTATAGTACAGCTTGAGATCAAGGATGGAGATATCTCCTGAAGGTCTTTTACTGTAGAGAATTGTTTTAGCAATTCTGTGTTTCTTGTTGTTCCATATTAAGGTGAGAATTTTTCTTTCAAGGTCTGTAAATAATTGTGTTGGTAATTTGATGGGAATTGCATTGAATCTGTAGATTGCTTTTGGTAAGATGGCCATTTTTACTATATTAATCCTGCCAAGCCATGAGCATTTCCATCTTCTGATATTTTCTAATTCTTTCTTCAGAAACTTGAATTTTTTTTTCACACAAGTCTTTGACTTGCTTGGTTAGGGTTACACCAAAGTACTTTATGTCATTTGTAGCTATTGTGAAGGGTGTTGTTTCCCTAATATCTTTCTCAGCAGTTTTGTCTTTTGTATACAGGAGGGCTACTGAATTTTTAGAGTTAATTTTGTATCCGGCCACTTTGCTGAAGGTGTTTATCAGTTGAAGGATTTTCTGGTTGAGTTTTTGGGGTCTCTCATGTATACTATCATATCATCTGCAATAGCCAGAATCTGGAAACAACCCAGATGTCCATCAACAGAGGAATGGATACAGCAATTGTGGTACATTTACACAATGGAATACGACTCAGCAATTAAAAATGAGGAAATCATGAAATTTTCAGGCAAATGGTGGGACCTAGAAATGATCATCCTGAGTGAAGTATCCCAAAAGCAGAAGACAAGTTCATGGTGGCATTCTTGGGGGAGTGCCTGAAAGGGTTGGGTGTTCTCAGCCCCAGATCCTGAGCCCAGGTTTCTCTGGTAGAAGTTACTGCTGTCGCTGGGGCTGGGGCACAGACAGTGTGGTCTGTGGCGGATTCTGCTGGTGTCCTCCTGCCTCCTCCAAAGATGGGATAGGGAGTTGGATACGGGGAAGTGCCTAGGGATCACCTCCTTATGTGTCTCCTCCCAGAGTAGTCTGCAGGTGACCTGGTGACCTGATTCTATATGGAGTCAGTTCATGGTTAGTCTTTCTTCCTGGGATATTCTCACTTTGGGTGCTCTCTAACCATAGAACGGCTAAGACTTCAAAGAGTGCTAGATCAGGCTTTTACAAGGATTGTAAGAATCTGAACTCAGGTCATTGAACATGTACAGCGTCATTTTACCCGGGGAGATATGTCCTGGGCCTGTAATTCTTAATTTGCCTAAACTGTTGATAGAGCATTTTTTTTTCTCCCCCTAATTTTCTCAAGCTTCTTTTGTCATTGTATGAGGTAGATCTAAATTTTCTAAGTGTGGCCGCATTCAGCTTTTGCTGTGGATATAAACATGTTTTTTTTTTTGTTTTGTTTTGATTCCACAAGTTGGATTACCTAGTTCAAAATTCAGAATTGTATGCAATCCTTATGATATTGCAGATTTTCCTGAATCTCTTAATATAATTACTGATTCTCACAATGCATAAAGAGTTATTTTGCAGGGGGTCCTGGGGGATCCAAAGGGAACAAAGTGTAATTAATTAAAATCAAAATAAAAAATGGAAAGAAAAAAAAGACTTATTTTGCACAAAGAAACTTATGAATTTATTCCTGATATGTCAGACTTGACTTTATTATTTATGAAATTGCAACAGGCCATCAGAAGTAGAAACTATCCATTATGTATTACTCATATTTGGTCTCATACACATTTACAAGGTCCATTGACACAAGAAAATGAGGAAATTGATCAGTTACTATTAGGACATGTGTTAGAAGCCTTGAAATTTCACCAAAAACACCTTATAAATAGTAAAAGTTTAAGGAAAAGAAAATC